ACCGCTTTCTCAAAATCACATAAAGTCATATTATAACATCGACTGAGATAAAGAATAAAATGAAATATTAAAAATCACGATGTATATCGCTGCATGGCGCGAGTACGCTTCTAATACCTTACTAAATATATTGGATTTGCTTAACTTTTTTATTTTTAATAATCATGTTACAAAAAGGCGCCTTATGTTGCATCATGTGCCATTTTATATATAGAGATAGTTGAGTTTACATGAGATCAAAGGTTTTTTGTGAGACCCGTAAAACCAATTTAGTTCATTGATCAACTTTATAACTAATAATCTAATGGTCTAAAATTGCACAGTGACAATTTCGTTATTATTGAGAAGTCTCGTGACAATTTTGTGATTATGAATGTTCAGATTATAGATCTAATCCAAGAGTTGAGAATTGGTCTTACGGGTCTCACGAAAAACCTTTGATCTCACATGATCTCAAGTCTCTCTCTCTCTCTCTCTCTCTCTCTCTATATATATATATATATATATATATATATATATATATATTTGTTAGTTAGGGTTGCGTTTTGGTAAAAATGGAAGTTATGATGAGAATGATAAGAATGGATCGTCACATTTAAATCAACCCTAATTGAAGATCAACACTAAGGGGATATTTGGTTTGATGGAACGGTTTTAAGAGATTTAGATTTCATGGAAGAATTTGGAAGGATTTGAAATATCTGGCGTATTTGGTTTGTATGATTTGAAATGGAATTGAACTTAATAATTTGTAATAACAAATTATAAATAGTTATAAAAATAAAGAGTGAATTATGTTGATTTTCAAATCCCCTAAATCCATTTCATTCCTACAAACCAAACAGATCCAGATAAAAAACACTGAATCAACACTAACGATACCAGATATTTACTCTTTTTGATAAACACCGTTTTTAATAATCTTGAAAGAATACATTTGGTTGACTAAAAGATGCCTTATGCCACATTACTTGCCTTTTATTTCTATTTAGATAATGACCTCTCATTAACAGAAAGGTCATTTTTTATTCTTCTTTAACTTAAAAAACTTGGTATAAACCATTTTAATCGTAAGATGGTATTTGATTGGTTTGAGTTTGAGTTTCAAAGGTCAAAAGTATTTGGAGATCCTAGGTTCAAATCCAATGAGAAATAAAGATCCCCTTATGATCATGGAGGTTCAAATACGGTTACTTTGGACTACCCATAAAACAGGTGGTCGGCTTGCATAACGGGTTGGATATCGAGGTTAATAAAAAAACCCATTTCAGTATTCTTTAAAAATACACAAAGAATGGTTGATTAATAGACGTCTTATGCCATATTATGTGCCGAATATTTCTCTTTATATAGTGGCCTCTCGTTAACAGAAAGGTCGTTATTGATTCTCCTTAACGAAAATGCTTGGCATAATGTTTTTCTTCTCATAAAATATCTGACGATCGATGGTTATTTACTCTGCTCTGATAAAAACTCATTTCCACACTCTTTAACGAATATACTGACAATGGTTGATTATTAGCTGTGTTATGCCGTATTATGTGCCGATTATTTCTCTTTTCATAACGACTTCACGTTAACAAAAATGTAATATTTCAATTTGTTCGTTTAATTTAACCACTTTTTTATAGCTCCATTGAGTATGTCGCGAGATAGTGATTTGTTAACTGAGATAATGTCATATACTTGTCAAAATCATAAGACACAACAACGTATCAAGTGTGACAATTGAACATCTGATAGTGAATGGTTAAAATATTCTATACCCAACTACTAAGGTTGTGACAGATATATCTCGTAACTTTTAAACAAACTTTAAAAAACACAAAACAAATTTGACTAAAAAGTCGTTATCTGTCAGATGTATGGGTGCTAAATAAACCATATGATCATGAAATCGGTCGAACCGGACAAAACGATACAATTTTTAGCAACTTGTCTGTATAATATGGTTTGAAAAATAGTTAAACCGTAAAGTTTGGTTTAAAAGAAGTCCACTGACACAAGGTTTGGTTTATCAAACCTTTTTCATATATACATACTTATACATATACATACATACATACATACATACATACATACATACATACATACATACATACATACATACATACATACATACATACATAGGGAAGAGTTTCTAATGAGAACACCTTTATTTTACGAGAACACATGAACTCTTTTTACTATAGACAATCACATGTGATACTATTATTCCATCACATGTGATACTAAATCAGAGACACGGACAATTTTCATTGCGATCTTGGTTGCGGGTCAAGTCGCCCTTACACCACTAAGCCTCTTCACAAGTATTATCACATGTGATAAGGGTGTTGTTGATATGATACTATAATCTATCAAGACCATCATATATTATGCTAAATCATAGATACAGACAACCTTTGGCGCGTCCTAAGTCGTAGAACGCATTGTCTGCACATCACAAGGTCCCTTTACACGTATTATCACATGTGATAAGGATGTTCTTGTGTTCTCGTAAAATGGAGATGTTCTCATTTGAACCTCTTTTACATACATACATACATACATACATACATATATAAATATATGTATATTTATATAAGGGTGGGTTTCGGTGGGAATGAAAGTTATAATGAGAAGCGTAAGAAGAGATCTCCACTTTTGAATCAATCTTATGTCAACAGTAATGAGGTGCATCCCATCAATTCCCTTTAATTCATAGATCGACATAAGATTAAAAATAACCTAAGGTTTCAGATTATCTTTAACTTCACCGGTTAATACCTACCTTCACTGGTTCACCCTTAAAAGAATATATTTATAGTAGTTGACTATGAGATGTCTCACATCACATTACGCATCATTTATTCCCCTTTACACTGACAGCATCTCTCTATTTAAATGGCTCATAACTCTCCTCACTACCACCACTAACACCACCATGGACTCCCATAACCACCAAACCCCACCGCAAACCACCACCATCACCACCGCAATGGCCACAAAGTTGAAAGACAATTTTGTTTTCCGGTCAAAATGGGCGGAGCTGAATGGTGCGATGGGCGATTTAGGGACATATATACCAATCGTCTTGGCGTTGACACTTGCTAGTGACCTTAACTTGGGTACTACATTGATTTTTACGGGTGTTTACAATATCGTAACAGGCCTTATCTACGGTGTCCCGATGCCGGTCCAACCCATGAAATCGATTGCTGCAACGGCTATTTCCGATCCCGATTTCGGGATTCCAGAGACCATGGCTGCCGGAATTTGCACCGGTGTCGTATTATTTCTATTGGGTGTCACCGGACTTATGCGGATTGCTTATAGGCTCATTCCGTTGCCGGTTGTTAGAGGAATTCAATTAGCACAAGGTCTATCGTTTGCCATGACCGCCGTTAAGTATATACGGAAAGTGCAAGACTTTTCAAAGTCAAAATCGAAGGGGAATCGGCATTGGTTAGGACTCGATGGATTGGTGTTGGCAATTATTTGCGTTTGTTTCATTACGATCGTTAGTGGTGCAGGTGATGAAGGTGAAGATGAAGATGAAGATGAGAACGATCGTGATCGGGGAGAAGATGGCGATAATAGACGAAGAGATTGGAGAAGAATCGTCGCGTATCTACCGTCGGCATTTATCGTGTTCTTGTTAGGGGTAATTTTGGCATTTATAAGAGAGCCAAAAGTGATCAAAGGGTTCAAATTTGGACCATCTTCAATACAAGTGATGAGGATTTCCAAAAATGCTTGGAAACAAGGGTTTCTCAAAGGCACAATTCCACAACTGCCCTTGTCAATTCTTAACTCCGTTATCGCCGTCTGCAAATTATCGATCGATCTTTTCCCGGAAAAGACGGTAACGGCGACCTCGGTTTCCGTGACCGTCGGGTTGATGAACCTAACCGGATGTTGGTTCGGTGCAATGCCTTGTTGTCATGGGGCCGGTGGGCTGGCCGGTCAATACAAGTTCGGAGGAAGAAGTGGTGGGTGTGTGGCCCTACTCGGTGCAACCAAACTCGTATTGGGTTTGTTATTAGGTAGCTCAATCGTTAAGATTTTGAGCGTGTTTCCGGTTGGGGTTTTAGGGGTCTTGTTGTTGTTTGCGGGTATCGAACTAGCCATGTGTGCTAGGGATATGAAGTCGAAGGAGGACTCATTTGTTGTGTTGGTTTGCACCGCGGTTTCATTAGTTGGGTCGAGTGCGGCCTTAGGGTTTGTTACGGGTATGGTGGTGCACCTACTCCTTAGGGTTTGGAAATTTGGTGGTTCTGGTTCAGACACAAATCAATCTCTGTCTTCTTATCACTGAAAAACTAGTGTGTAGTGATTATTTTTTTAAGAAAGTACGTAATCGAGTAAAGATATAATGTAATTCATCGGTTAACGATTAATGCAATACAATGTAAAACAACGAATATATTTTCTTAATTGGTTAATTTGCATGTATTAATAATCGTTTATTGTTATGAAAAGTTTGAGATACATCGGTACTAATTTGCTATAACTCAAAGTCATGCCTCACAACTAGTGATGGCCAAACCGGCCCGACCCGGCCCGGGACCGTCAGAGGACCGAAACCAGGACAGGCGAAGGACCGGCCCGGCCTGGGACCAGTTATAGGACCGAAATCTGAGACCGGTTATGGATTTGGGGTGTTTCACGGGACCGGCCTGACCCGGTCCGGTTTTTCAAAAACTTAGCTGTTTTTTTTAAATGTAGCTGTTATTTTTCAAAAAATTAGCCGTTTATGACCCTTTTTTTGTATTTTTTTGTTTTCTAAACACTATATATAAGTGTCTTGGTTGAGAGGTTTATATACCAAGTTCTCGATTCGCAAAACACACAAAAAAAAACGTTCACAATTATCGGTTTCTTGCTATATTTTGTAAGACAATGTAATTTTAATTATAATAAAACGCATTTTTAAAGTGTATTTGAATGACCTAATTTTAAATTTTATAATGTATTAAAAATATATATCATTAAAAAAAATAAAAAAAAATATATTATTTTTTAATGACCGGGACCGGCGACCCGTAATTGGTTACAATAAAGCTTAACCGGGCTCACCTTTTTTGACCGGACCAGTTATGGCCGGATTTGTTGAGGCCCTGGACCGGTAAGTACCGGTCAGGCCCGAGAACTGTTTTTGGCCATCACTACTCACAACCATATCGCTCTTTTTGTAGAAAGAGTTTGACGAATTATTTTCCAAAAATGGGTCATCTAAAATTAGTCAACCGTATAAGTTGCTATAAAAAGGCATCTTCTTTGTTTTCTATTTATTATTCAATGAAATAATAATATCAAAATTTAACATTCAGATTAGAAGAAGAGATAAAATATATCAGTGTTATCCATCTAGTACGTGATTAAATATCTAAACCAGAACTTGGAAGGGTTTTGCAATTTTGGTGTGTCTGGTTTGTAGGATTTGAAATGGAATTGAATTCCATTATCTATAAATAATTTATAAAAAACAAATTATAAATAATTATAAAAATAATTAATTTTTTTATTATTTGATTATATAAAACAAATGTTTTTTAAATATTTTAAAACGTTCCCATATAGAAATCCTATGAAATACCAATCACTCCCATGAGATTTCATTATCCTATATTTATGGGATTTCATTGATTTCAAATCCAAGAAATCCTTCAAACCAAACATGAGATTTGAATAGAAATTAGTTCTAAATTCATATGAACCATGAACATTCCAAGCAACCACACCCTTCAGCTTTTCAATCCTCGTTAACGCACACCTTAGCCTCTGCTTTCGTTATATGTTGCATTTGTTACAACAACAGAAACCTCTTCTGGAACAACCATCCATGTTGCACCGGATTAGGCTCCTGAGCAAACCTTAACATCTACAGTACTACCAGTCATGTAAATTGGAATCACTGTTAGAGATGATAAATTTAACTCCGGAAACACATATGCAAAGAATATGCCCATCTCGTCTTCTTTTAAGACATAAAACCTTGCTAAAGTGGCAAGTCAGTAGCTTCAATTCAACTCATATTTAAAACAAAGCTCTAATTCATGAGCCGTTTACCTAAATGCTTACACGGTAAGCGCTTACGTTAAGAGTTAACACTATAATTTATTTTACCGGGTAAGATTGTAGTACATCAAAATGATATCGTATGCAACAATTTACTCGGTAAACACTTTTACCAGAGTCGTCACTCCCACTTACCGAGTAAGAACTCTCCATCTTTATCATTGTTTTTACCGGGTAAGATTTTTGACTCTTGTCATGTTCATCGGTAAGAAAAATTACCGGTAAGCAATTATCGGATAAGCGTTTTTGTAAATGACCCCTCAGTGTCTTCAATCAAGTAAAGAAAAAAAAGTAGAAATGGGATAACACAAAATTAAAAAAGAACACAAAAAACAAAGAACATATTAGGCCAACAACTTTTTTTTATTTATTAACCTGGATATCCAACCCGTTATGAGAGCTGACTAATCTCAGGGCGACCACCTGCTTTGTAGATAGTCCGGAGTCACCGCATTTGAACCTTCGTGGCCACAAGGGGATTTTTATTCCTCTTGGATTTGAACCTGAGACCTCCTGCTATTTTTGACCTTTGAAGTTAAGCTCATACCAATCATGCACCACCCTTATGATTGGCCAACAACTTTTAACATTGAAATCAAATTAGGTTTACATTAATATTCTTTGTTTATCTCTATAAAGAATATGGTCAAAATACCAAAGATTTTTCACCGTTACCAATATTAGCTTATAGGATGAAAAAACTGTAGTAAAACAATCGATATAGAAAATCGAAAAACTGTTAATTGTTATTAATCATACGTCTTTTAAATAAGAAGGGGTTACAAAAAGATAACCATGAGATATATAATTCTAAGCTAACTCCAGTATGTCTATCTCTATCTCTATATATCTCTATCGTCATATCCATTTGACGATGACACATTTGTTCTTCAACACTCCTCCTTGTGCCAAGTCAAAAGAGTGATGGTGCACTATCGTTGCCTCGTTAAAACCTTACGTCAAAATAAAATTCAATGAAAAAAAAATAAAAATAGGACGAAGGAAAGAGTTACTCACTTGTTTATTTTATAAACAAAACTATTGACAATTAAAAGTTAAATATTGAATGTTATAAGATTTTAATAAGTAATTTTGGCATAGGCCAAAATATAACAATGAGGGGTGGAAGTGGGACTTCCAAAATATATACAACAAATTATAATATATGATTTATAATTAAGATAAACATAAAACAATTCAAATGCTAACAAGATAATTAAACAACAAGATTTAACAAATCAAATAATCATACATATATATACACACATATATACATAGGGAATACCAGAACCTCTGGTCCGTCTAAACTAAAACCAAGGATGCATGACCAATCAAAGGTCCTCTGGATGACTAGAACCTCTGGTCCGTCTAAACTAAAACTGTTGGAAAATAAAAAGATAAGATATAAGAAAATACACTTCTCCTTTATATGTCACCCTTATTCGATTTACTTGATATAAACATAACCAAATACCACAATTATGCTAATCATAACATCAAAACCAATATTATATCATCCCCATGTAAGGAACTCTACGGTTCCAATTTCAACCAAATAAGACGAATAAAATCACCTTATGATCACAAGAGATGAAAATACGAAGATAAAAATCACAACAAATATCTAGAACAAAGATTCACAGAACTCAGCTTCTATTTGCTTCCTCGGAAAAGTTTCTATTTCCTCGACCCCAAAAAACACACACTGTAAACACTTGATTTCTTTTTCACCCCATCCCAATGAGATAAAACAATTATCTCATAATACTCATAAACAAATAATGAGGCGGTGGCGATTTAAAAAGAGTTACGCACGTATACAATTTTAACCCCTCAACTTACCACCATTATTTGAAAAATAACCCCAAACTTAATAACCGAATACCCGGTTATCACATGGTGGAATATCATAACCGGTTCCGGAGCGCCGATCCCAACCAATCGATCCCAGACCAGGCCAATCCCAAGTTGATCCCAGGCCAGACTGAACCCATTTGGCCATCTCCAGCTATAGGAGCTGTCCTTGGGCTTGAAGACTTTCGGGCTGAACCTTTCGGCTTGTTTTGTCTTGGGCTTGTGTAAATTAGGACTTTTCAGTGATAGTCTTGGACCCTAAGTTTCTTTCGCCTTTTGTTAATTTAAATATAATACTAAAGTTGTTGCATTTTTGCAACTTGTAATTTAATTACTTGCTATTTAATTTCTAGTTGTGATCTTTTGTTATTTAAGTAATATTATATTTTGTGATAAGTATCGTTAAGTCTCTTACTTTCAAATACTACTTCTAGCAAGCTGATTTAGAAGTGGAAACTTTTCCAACAAGTATAAAACTAAATACTGTATTTTATTTTCAATTTTATTAATTACTGCTTAATATTGACAACCAAACACCCCTAAGTAGTATTTTCGTTGCATCAAATGCTTAATGAATTAGCAGCACCTACAACAGATTTCAATACCAAAACCACCTGGTGTAAAACATTTCAAACCCTAGACCAAAAGCGAAAAACAACAAAACCCAAATCAAATCAGCAAATGGATGCGTCAAAGGGTTTGTCAACCACCGTGGCTAGAACTCGTAGTTGAGAGAGTTTGTAAAGTTAGATTGGTTAAAAATGGCAAAGTGAGGAAAAAGACTGGGAAGGTTGGTTAAGTTATGAGAGAAGTCGTGGGATTAGACATACAAAACCTGATCGAGGTTCTTCACGAATATTCGATTTTTGGTATGAAAAATCACATTGCTTTTACATTTATCAGTTTATAAAAACATTTACATCTAAGGATGGTGATTTGCCCCAACCCGGTGGGGAACCCGGCTCACCCGACCTGAACAGGGACGAGATTCCCCGCTAAAACGGGTCTCGGGACCCGGGATCCCAGGTAGACTCAAAATAACAGATATTCTTAATGGGGTTTGAACGAGGACCGAGGGCTGTTACTAAAAACCAAGGCCGAGGCCGGGGATTACAAAACCCGCCTCATCCCCGTCCGTTGCATCGCCTATTTAGATCATGCTATTTTACAAATCAAAGACCCAAATTATTATAATTTTCATGGGAGTAGATTATACATAAATTTTATTTGTACTAGAAGGGTACTCGCACAATGCAACGAGATACATTTTGATTTTAAATATTTTATTTTATTCTTTATCTCAGTCGATGTTATAGTATGGTTTTATGTGATTTTGAAAAAGCGATGGTGTTTTTATTTTTGAATAAAATATAAATTTGAAGATATCATAAAAATTTGACAAAAATATATCGATATTAGTATCAAATTAACTATTTAAAATTCTTAATTTTTGTGTAATTTTTTAATTCAATTTTTATTATAAATTAATTTAGGTTCAATAACAAAGTAATTTATATTTAGTGTAATAATATAATTTTCTTATAAAGATAATAATTAATTATTTTGTTAGAACTCGATAATTATCCTATTTATATTTTAGATTTTTTATATTTTAAAATAAGATGTTTATCATCTATTTGATTATATTTATTCGCAGTTAGTTCCATGAATTCAAACATGAAACTTTAATAAATTGTATTTATACATAATTGACTTATAATTTTAAATTTTAAGTAATATACATCAATATACAATACTTTATACATAAAAAATAATTTTTAGTTTTTTTATCAAATACTTTATAATTAGTTTTAAAAAGCAGCTTCTCAATTATTTCGTTCAGGTTCCCGTGAAAAATCCAAAGTTGAAGGTCAACAAGTCAACCCTAATAAAAAACGTTTCTCCAAATCTCACGCCACGAACCCCCCCTTTCTCTTCCGAAGACAATTCTGGAATTACTTTATATTATCTCCTCTCTTCTCTCTTCAAACCCTAATCGTTTCTTTTCCCCTGCGATCTACAAACCCTAAAGCTTTTTACTCGGGTTCTTCCAAATAGCTCGCTCCCTTTTTGTGTCTTTCACTTGATTTTGTTTTGCTTCATGGATTCTGGATCGTCGAAAGGATTTGATTTTGCATCCGACGATATTCTTTGCTCTTACGAAGATTACACAAATCAAGACAATTCCAACGGAAATCACTCTGATTCAGCGATCGGCACTAATTCCTCTAAAGTATTCTTCTTTTTGTCTCTTAATCTCTCTAACTCGTAGTTTATTTACCTGTTTTTGCTTTCTAGGGTTTTTTTTTTTTTTTTTAATTTATGTTTGGGGATCTTTTTTTTATTTCAATTGCTTTATGCGCGGTTTGCATTTTATGATAGCAAATATGGGATTTAGAAAAAAGGGTTTTCGTTTTTTATTCTTAAGGTGGGTGACCTGCAATGATATATATGCATCTATTGCGCAACTACGACTTCTAAAGCAGTATTTTTGGGTAGTTTGTGTCTTATGATCATTAGCGTATCGTGGTACCGGACTTTAGAAAGGGCTTGGATTGTTTATTCAATTAGAGAGAATTTTACCTTTTATACGCAGGTGAAACTTGCAAAGCAGGGCTGATGTTGTGAAAGCAAGAGCATTTATACTTCTGTTGTAATTTTTGGTTATGTGGTTTAGATTATTTATGGTTGTGGAAGTCGCAGAAGCATATTCATGAGGGTTAGACTTAAAGTAGGTGTTGTGTTTTGTTGCTTACTATGGTAATATTCAATCTGCTTGAGCTTGTGCTAGCCATTTTATGTGTCCGTATCCATGGGATTTATTGGTTTTAACTTTACAACCTGTATCTTAATATTATATTTGGTTAGCCTTTCAGATTTAATGATTGGTTGTCGAAGATTTAAATGCTTCTTGGCAGAATAATATAATCCAGTATACCTGGCCTTTTTGTCCCTGCTGTTCACTCTTCTACATCATGTCACCATTCTTGTTCTTAAGTTATGCTAAAAGTCGATGTAAGAACTAGTTTTAGGTTTAGAAAAAATGGAAGATTGGACAAAGCAGTGCTAAACAAATCAGACACTTTGGTACTACAATGGCAGTAAAAACTGTATTTGAGGTAAAGTATTTGATCATGTGTGTAGATGTCCCTGTTGGTACCTGGTTTTAAACCAATATTAGATGGATGCATGTGTGTTCTAACATGGTCACTACAATTGAAATTTTCAATAGGTTGTGGCAATGGAAGGTCAAATTTTCTCTTGTTTGTTGGTGTAACTGCAATAATTGCATTTTTAGAAGGTAATATGTGGATCTGATATGCTTTGTTGACCACCGTTTGAACACTTTCAGCAGTGGTTTCCTAATTTTTAATTTTAGGACGATGTATCTCTATGGAAGAGGAATAATGATACGCAGATGCATGGGCCTAAACCCCATTGGTCTATTCAAGACATGCGTCTATTATTTACTCATAGAGAACAACATTAGTATTTCCATAAGTAGTTACTTTTGTAACAGGAAATTTATATATATATATATATATATATATATTGTTTCCTATGCATAATATTTATCAAAGACAGGTTAGGATTGAATTAGGCATCTTGGAAGAGCTAGCCTCGAATTCCTATTATTTTCTTTCATAAAGATCTCTCTGCTTTTTATCTTAAGTCTTTTTTTTTATATATTTTAATAGAAGGTTTTTATGTATCTCAAAAGTAAGAATATATGAAACTATAATACGCATATGATTCAGTAATAATGTAATATAATATATTATTAGGGGTGGTAGACTATCGAAAGAACATACTGTATTATACATGAAATCAAGCCATAGGTAGAGATTTATAGAAAATTATGTTGGTAAAAAAATTATAATCATCACACATCAAGTGATAATGCCAAAATAGAATGCATCTCGTATTATGGGGCAACAAGTTTTCTCTTGTTTGTTGGTGCGACTGCAATTGTTTGTTGATTGTTCTTCAGCATATTGTAAATAGATCTGAAATATTTTCAAGTATCCTTTTTGAAGCAAGTACTCATTAGATTTTTACTTGTTGAAAGAATTCAATTGTCCTTTTGTGTTGGCTGATTTTGATATATATGAATACTTGCATGATTCCCTTGTTTCTATTTCATAATTGTGCTGCGATTGCTACTATATCTTTTATGTTGGAGCTTGTTATAGAATAATAGGGGCATTTGTGGTATTAAATGCTGTTTTTTTAATGGACAGGAATTCCACAAAAGCAGGATGAGTAGACCATCTGTATTCCCTGCTTCCTCATATAGTCCGCCAGATGATTCTGGTAACCAAGATGTGGTCATAGCTGCTGTTGAGAGATCCATGAAGAAACATTCTGACAATCTTATGCGCTTTCTTGAGGGTCTTAGTTCACGTCTCTCACAGTTGGAATTATATTGCTATAATGTTGATAAATCAATTGGAGAGATGCGTTCTGATCTGGCACGTGATCATGGAGAATCTGAAGCAAAACTTAAGTTTCTTGAGAAGCATCTTCAAGAGGTGAGTTGCAAGATGGTCCATGCAACATTTTTTTACCCTTCATTCCTGAAGTGAGTTTGATCGAGTTTCTTATCATATATGATTGCTGTTGCAGGTTCATAGATCTGTACAGATCATACGAGACAAGCAGGAACTTGCTGATACCCAAAAGGAACTAGCTAAGCTTCAACTTGCACAGAAAGAGTCTTCTGCTGGTCATGACTCTCAGAAAAGTGGGGAAACATCTCCGGTTCCTTCTGATACCAAAAGGAATGACAATGCAGCCGAAGGGCATGGTCAGCAATTAGCTCTTGCTCTTCCTCATCAAGTTGCCCCACTCCCTGCCCCGCAGCCTGCCGCACCTCAGCCACAGATGGCTCCCCAGCCAATGAGTCAGTCACAAACATACTATTTATCTCCATCCCAGTTACCAAATATACCTGCCCCCACCCAACTTACTCAAAATCACTATCTGCAATCTGATCCCCATTACCAGAACCCACCACCCCAACGCAGTCAAGTGAGTCAGCCTCAGCCACAACCACAGCCTCAAGTCCACTCCCTCCCTCAATATCAGCAGCAATGGGCCCAGCAGGTATCTCAGCAGGTGCAACCACCTCAGCCTGCAGTTAGACCTTCTTCACCTCAAGTTTTCCCTCCTTATCTCCAAAGTCAACAAGTTAACCCTTCCACTCCTGAAACCCTCCCAAATAGTATGCCGATGCAAATGCCTTACTCTGGCATTCCCCAGCCTAGCTCTAGCCAAGCAATGACATATGCATTTGGTGGGCCTGGCCGAACGCCTCAGCAACCATCTCAGCATCTCAAGCCAGGTTTTGGAGGTCAACAGAATGATGGGTATGTAGCTGGTGGGCATTCCAATGTGCCTCAAGGGAATACTTATATGATGTACGATAGCGAAGGGGGAAGGGTCCCACATGCTAGCCACCCGACTCACTTCTCTCAATCTGTTTATCCTCCAAATCCACAACAAAACAGTGGCAGTAGTATGATGGCTCGTCCTCCACCTCAATTCATGCGCAGCCATCCTTACAATGAACTGATTGATAAGTTAGGAAGCATGGGATTCAGGGGTGAACACGTGATAAGTGTGATTCAGAGGCTAGAGGAGAATGGACAGACGGTTGATTTCAACACGGTGCTTGACAGGCTGAATGTTCATCCTTCCGGGGGATCACAGAGAGGATGGTCTGGTTAAACCAAGTATGCAATATTCAAATCCCCTGCAATTTCCATGGAAAATCATTTGTGTTTTAGGTTTATCAATCTAGAGTGCGTAATAAATTTCAATATGATTGTCATGGTGATTTGGTACATATGGATGGAGAGATATCTTTTAGTTTCCACTCTCCATTCAAAGTTTAATATGGCTTTATGAACCCTGTTGTGGTTATTTTCTATAGATAATACCTGATTCGCCTTTGTTGACTGTGTAATCATTCTGTTGCCTTGGTGTATATTAAGTTTTTTAAAATTTAAAAATAAATGTCTGCCTGTGGGATGCAGTTTTACATATTTTAATGTGGAGTGATCATGCAATCTTGACTTTCTTTATTTGGAAAATTTTAGTCAGCATTGTATTCTTAGAAAATTCCAAGAATTCATTGGATGTTTGATGGATAAATCCATTATGGGTATCTTGTCTTGGAATTAAGGTTGTTCCATGATTCATTTAGGGACTGTTTGGAAGGGCTTGTTTGTTAGCAGCTTAATAGGACTCGCAACTTATTCGACATGACTGTTTGGTAGTGGTTTAATGATACAAAAAATGGCTTATTCAGTTGGCTTTTCTTTGGGGGGAGCTTTATACATAAACCCAAGTTTTTTCAAATAAAAAGCACGCCCATTTCATCTATGAAAAAACCAATCCCTCTGATAGGGATATAAGATGATTCATGTGATTCCTTTTCTCGAGTATTTATCATTGATTTTAGTACTTGCTACGTCCGGATGTTCATCAAGATCAGGTTCTCGATTGATGAGTTCGAACTGTTTTTTCGATCTAGATAATTACTTGTAGCTTGGGGTCTTTTCAAAATTAGGTGTTTGATTGATGAATTTGGAGGTTGTATTTGTGTTGGGAAGGATCCAGATTCAATTTTGATATGAGTTTTTGTTTGTGTTGGAATGATTTTGGTGTAAATGATCCTCATTTCCCCTTTGCTGTTGCATATGCTTTTTCCTTTTGGTTGTATTTATTGGTATATACTTCAAAGTAAAAATGTGAATGTTATGATGGAGAACTAAATGTATACCATTGTTCTCTACTTTTTCCTGTCAAATATATGCATTTTTTTCTAACCGTTGGTGTTTGAGTCAGTTTATGTGCATCTCGACTAACTCGATAGGTCCTGAAGAATAACTAGGAAAATCTCTAGTGACTTTGTGGGACTCGAACTGTTGACTAATCCTAGAGTACTGTAAAAGAGCCAAGAAAATTCCCAATGGTTTTGCAGGACTCAAACTAGTGACCTATGAGGAGGATTCCTAAAGACTCAAGGCTTATTGTCAGTTGAATTAACCGTAAAAGGTTGTTAATATATGCTTTAGTTACAATATGTCTGGCATCCAAGGTTTGGAGGTGTGTGAATATTTTGTCGGATGTATTGGGTTCAGACGAAAATAAAGTCAAAATACGATAACACGATGGAACACTATAAAAAAAATATATATAACAATATGGATGTCAAGTTAAAAAGAATCAAAATGCTCGTTTTCTTTTGTATGATCTGTTTGGTGCCAATTTTTGTTGCACGACACCGATTTTCTATTAAAAAATAAGGGTATTTTTGTTTCTTTTAACAAAAAGGTGGATATAACCATTTTTTAATCATATATGTATTATGACTTTGTTCATGTTGAACCTCCACACACACGCACGCACGCATGCACGCACGCAGATATATATATATATATATATATATATATACACACTTGGGATCATGTGAGATCAATGGTTTTTTGTGAGACTCGTAAGACCAATTCTCAACCCTTGTATTAGATCTACAATTTGAACATTCATAATCACAAAATTGTCACGAGACTTCTCAATAATCACAAAATTGTCACCATGCAATTTTAGACCATTAGATTATTAGCTTATAAAGTTGATCAATAAACATAAATTGGTCTTACGGATCTTACGGAAAACCATTGGTATATATATAAGTGTCTCTCTCTCTCTCTCTCTCTCTATATATATATATATATATATATATATATAGATATACTAGAAGCGTACTCGCGCAATGCAGCGAGATACATCGTATTTCATTTTATTCTTTATCTCAGTCGATGTTATAATATGGCTTTATGTGATTTTGAGAAAGTGATGATGTTTTTATTTTTGAATAAAATATATGTTTGAAGATATCATAAAAATTTGACAAAAATATATCGATATTAGTATCAAATTAACTATTTGAAATTCCTCATTTTTTTGTGTAATTTTTTAATTCAATTTTTTTATATAATTTAATTTATGTACAATAACGAAGTAATTTATATTTGGTTTAATAATATAATTTTTCTATAAAGATAATAATTATTTATTTTGTTGGAACTCGATAATGATTCTAATTATATTTTAGATTTTTTATATTTTAAAATGAGATGTCCATCCTCTATTTGATTATGTTTATCCGCAGCTATTTATACGAATTCAAACATCGAGCTTTAATAAGTTGTACCTATGCATAATTATTTGTAATTTTGAATTTTAAGTAATATGCATCAATATACAGTACTTTATGCATAATAAAAATATATTGATATTCGTATCAAATTAACTATTTAAAATTCCTCATTTTTTGTGTAATTTTTTAATTCAAATTTTTTATTATAATTTAATTTAGGTACAATAACGGAGTAAATTTATATTTGGTTTAGTAATATAATTTTCTTATAAAGATAATAATTAATTATTTTGTTAGAACTCGATAATTATCCTAATTATATTTTAGATTTTTAATATTTTAAAATAAGATGTTTATCCTCTATTTGATTATATTTATCTGCAATTAGTTATACGAATTCAAAAATCGAGCTCTGATAAGTTGTACTTTTGCATAATTTACTTGTAATCTTGAATTTTAAGTAAACATTGGTTTTATGTGGTTTTGAGAAAGTAATAATATTTTTATTTTTGAATAAAATATAAATTTAAAAATATCATAAAATTTTGAAAAAAATATCTATATCAGTATTAAATTAATCTTTTAAAAGTTACTGTGTTTTGGTGTAATTTTCTTAATTAAATTCTGTTAGTTATCAATGATTATCATAATTGTGTTTTAGATTTTTTATATTTAAAATGAGATATTTATCCAATATTTGATTATGTTTATCTGTAGTTAGTTAGATGAATTCAAGTATTGAGCTTTAATAAGTTGCACTTATGCATAATTTACTTGTAATCTTAAATTTTAAATAACATGCATCAATAAACAATATTTCGTGCATAAAAAATTGTTTTTAAGAGTTTTTGTCAAATGTTTTATATTATAGAATATATTTTTTATATATAATTTAATTTAAGTTTAATAATAAAATAATTTATTTTTGGTTTAATATTATAAATTTTATAAAGATAATAATTACGTATTCAGTTAGAATTTAATGATTATACTAATTATATTTTAGATTATTTATATTTAAAATGAGATGTTTATCCTGTATTTGATTGTGTTTATCTGCAGTTAGTTACACGAATTCAGATATGAAATGAAATCGAATAGGGATGAAATCGTTTAGAATGAACGAGTTTAAGAGTTTTTAAGAGTTTTAGTCAAATGTTTTATAAGATAGTATATATATATATATAGGGTTTATTTCAAATACAACCTATYGCATTTGTACAACCMATGMAACCYAATAAATTGAAATATTTATGGAAATGATTAGAGTTCATTTATTATGATTTAAATATTTATGGAAGATGAATACGGTTCATTAATTATGATTAATACTTTATATTAGGAAATAATCAAAACCTCTATAAAATCATATATTAATCAAATGAAATGAACGGTTGAAATTTGGTTGTATTGGTTGCACAAATGACAATGGTTGTATAATAACCAACCTCTCTCTCTCTCTCTCTCTCTCTCTCTCTCTATATATATATATATATATATATATATAGTTCGTTTCAAATACAACCCATCACATTTGTACAACCAATGCAACCGAATAAATTGAGATATTTATGGAAATGATGAAAGTTTATTTATTATGATTTGAATATTTATGGAAGAAGAATAGAGTTCATTTATTATGATCAATACTTTATATTATGAAACAATCAAAATTTTTATGAAATCACATATCAATCAAATTAAATGGACGACTAAGATTGGATTGTATTGGTTGTACAAATGTAAAGGGTTGTATAATCCACCTCTCTCTCTCTATATATACACACACACACATATATATATATATATATATATAGACAGAGAGAGAGAGAGAGAGAGAGGAGTGAGTTCAAATTAGAAGAGATTCAAAATTAATATCCTAAATTTAAGCTAAAAGGGCATGAAAGTAATTTGCATTTTTAAACATTAGCTAATTAATTATTTGAATCTTTAAAATAGTCATTATATCTTTAGTTAGATTTATTTATTTTTGGATTATAATTAATTAATGATTTTTCATATTTTTTTCACACTTTTATGATTTTCTTTTTCATTATTTTTACATCATTTTTTCACATAGAATTTGTCACATACTACATGTGATTCATTTAATGCGGTACACAACAAATTAATCATATGTGATTAACAACACATAAACCACATTCATACATGTTATGCTAGAATAACATCTATAATTAACAACCCAATAAACATTACTATGTCATATGTGATATAATATATATATATATATATATATATATATATATATAAACACATGTGATATCATTACGAATATGACATATAATATTATACAATATAAAAAATACGTAATATCATTAATAAAATTAGATGTGATGTTATACAAAATATCAGCTAAATTATGCATCTAACTTTGGATAAAACTTTGAAAAATAGGAGCAGTTTAAACCGTGAAAACGAGGTTGTTGGAGAGCAATACAAAAATTGTGATTGAGGACCGTTGATGGTGACAGTTATCAACCCAAGATTGAGAAGAGTGGTGATGGGTACAATTGATGGAGAGAGAGAAGTTGGTTGATTGACGGTGACAGAGACTAAAACAAATCATTATGTAGGGGTTGATCAGTTGAAATCCAATGGATTTAGGTGGATCTAATCATCCATTGAATGTTGGATTTTGTTATTCGATCTGATCCGATTAGTATTGGACATTCGATCTGATTAAAATCTAATGGATGATTGATTCAGATCGATTCCATCCATTGGATATTACTATTGGTTATCCATTGGATTCGTCGAATCTTTTGATCTAATACTCAACCAACTAATTATTCGTATATTTTTTTAAGTTATTAAAAAAGACGATGTATAT